ACTACCTGCTCACCTGGAGATGTCGCACTAAACCTTCTATACATTTTTTACAAGGAGTAAATTATATTAAAGGAGAGGTGTCATGGCCATTTCCACTGATCATAATTCCATTGTTGAGGTATACTAGAATAGATTTATACTGTGCATTTTTCCAAACTCACATTGGTTTCTCATACAGCATTTCTGTAAACTACTTGTATTAACTGAATTTCACTCTCTGCCTTTAACGGCTCGTTGTAGCTCCAAAAGCTCCAGCCCCCACCCTCCCTGTGAGCACAGTGTGCTCTGATTGGTCGGGACGTTGTGAATCGCGCTGAGCTCCGTGGAGGTGTTGTTTCCTTGTTTAGGATACATAGCCAAACACAGCCAAACTCATCCTGAGCACACACAAACTCACATCCGAAGTAAAAACAATAAGTGTGGCTTGATATTGAGTAAGAAAAAGGTTGATAAACGCTGTGAGAATGGGTCTGCAGAGAGAATTTTGCCGTGATCCCAACGGTCTGTTATCAGCCTGCAGCCAGGGAGGAGAAATCAGCTGAGCTGCCTGCTCCCTGCACACAGATGTGTGTGTGTGTGTGAGGAAGTCCGTGGATTGGTCAATTTGGACCAATCAGCGGGGGCTTAACGTAACGGCTCCACGGATTGGTCCATTTCGTTCCGGGTACGGGTTGACATCATGCCGTACCCGGAATAATCAAATGGACAATGACGTATCTCCAACGAGGCGTTTTGGGGAGGTATTTTCTGTGTTAGAGTTTTACTCGCTATAGGGTGTACTTTGAGGGATTTGACTCTGCACACCGTTTACATGCATAAAAACCTTCATAACACACAAGGGGACGGGTAATAACCGGAAAAGCATGACACCTCTCCTTTAAATCAAATGTTGGCAGTGCTAAACATTGCCAGACCAAAACAAATGTTCTTTACAATCTCCAGAAGATGTTGGTCGGGAGGGATAATGGTCTGTTTTTAAAACGCTTTATAGCCAGTGAATGACTGATTCTATAATTTAGGGTGCATTTCACATCAACAAAACAGTACAAAGAAAGTGTTCTTTCTCAATAGAACAATCAGTGGTTCAAGTTAGTATATTCCTCAGTGTAACATATCCACTAGTTGCAAAGCTTAAACATTTTTATTTATTTTTTTATTTAAGGGAAAGGATGTTTTCACTACTCAGTTTGTCAACTATGTTACGGACAAACTTGATGTCATTACAATCATTTGATTAAGTCCTGCACTTCAAGTAAAATCAAATTTTGAAAGGCTCTCGAGTCTATTCTACCATATATCCAAAGATTTTTTTAAAGTTTAAAAAATAATTGTATTAAAGTTTTGTTTTTTCATGTGATATGTTCAGCACTGTCATTAAGTTTAGGGATATTTTGTATTATAAAACTACCATACAGGTCATTTTGATAGTTTTAAGAGATGTCATGTAAAACTCCAACCTGTGTAGATATACATTATACTATAAAGGATATCAGAAGCACTATTTTAGATATTTTAAATTTGAAAAAATGAGGTGCAACATAGTTGACAATGAAAGTCAAACATTTGACGCAAATAACATAGTTGACTGGACACATTAACCATCAGCACTATGTTAATTTCAAGGCAGAAGTGCAAAATTCCATTGATAATGATGTGTAATGACGTCTACATGTCATACAAATTGTCAACTAGGTTACCTGTCAACTAAGTTACTACAGTTATTACAGTACTGGGTAACTCAGTTGACAGGTAACCTAGTTGACAATTTCCCTATTTTGACCCATCATTTCAATGCTAGGCCTTGCCTGGATGACCACATGTCATTTTCTTGAACAGGTTAACATCACATTTGAACATATAATTGAATTAAAATCATTAAACAATTGTAAACCATAACAATGTACGTAACATTGTTGATTGTCAATGAGTATATTAATTGACCATGTGCTATTATACATAAAATATTGTAAAAATGTAGAGGACAATCACCACAGTGTGTTCAAAATGTCTGCCAAAGAGGAACATGGCATCATGTGATGCTGGTGACATGGTATTGGGACGAACAATTTTTGAGTTAAAGGGGGAAGTTCTGTTAGTAACATAGTTGACAGAACTTTTGCGGACATTCATATATTAAGATATTTAAATTATTTAAAGGGGGAAATCAATTAAAAATATGTTATTCTTTAGTATTTAGACTTTTGAAATAAATGAATCATTTTTTAAATTTACTTTAATGGTTTTTATTCATTATTTTGAATCCAAGACACCCTCAACTGAAAAACGGACATAGCAAAAACTGACAATTTAAGAACATCATGACACATTTCAAGCTAAATAAAGCATAGGATGCACATAATGTTTGTGTGATATTATAACATGCTTTCCAATAATAGGCAAAATATGATATTTTTGAAGAAAATAGTTAGAATAATTATAATTATCATCAATGGACATCAATGGACATGGAATGTACCCTAAATTGTAGAATCACTCGAATACCAAGATGCCCATCACACTAAAGGTTTGTAAACATTTAATTGAGCCACCACATTACCACAAATAATTCCCACCTTGTGCAAAATGAAGATGAACATTAGGCAAAAAAGACCATGAGCTTGTGTGGATATATCGTATAAAACATTTATTCATTTCAGGGGAGACTTATTGCTGTGTCTCGTTTTACTTTTCATTCACAACTGATCGTCGCACTGACTTGCTCCTCTGCTGCCCTCCAGTGGCCACAAGGCACAACAGGTACTTTTACATTACAGCATGTAGCTCCAAACCACAAAAGTATTTCCTTCAGAAAATGCACTTCACTAAAGCTCTAAACATGGCACATGAACCTGTCACCGCAACACAAATATAAACTATATACAATAAAATCAGGAATATAGTAGCTACAATATGAATGCTCTACAGTGAGCAGAGATGTATTTTTATGTGTGGGCATAATGTACAGGGTAATAGTCAAATGACTGCCACAAGGCCTTTCTATGACACTGAATAGGAACAGATCACAGCTCTGATTTAGTAGATCTTGCTGACCAACAATTGCTGAATAGGTTTAACAAAAAATAATCTTTAAAATTAGACTGTTTCTCAGAATAAAGAAAAATGATGTGCCTCATGTAAAAAAATTCTGCATTCCAGACTGACTCTTTTCACTTTTTAATGTTACACCAGCAAACCCTTGTACCCAGATGCTAAATTACTACTAAGCTACATTTGAAACATTCAGCACTTTTCTATAACTTTGAGGCTGCACTGTCTGCTGTTCAGCAACAGTTAAGGAGACTGGCTTTAAAGGGGAGATGTGCTGTCAACGTGTATGAATAATGCATTGTTTCCTTGTTAATAAGTGAACCATTATGTTGCATATATCTCAAACACAAAAAGGACTTTCATACACAGTAAGTGTACATCTGTGTCTTGTGGCCAAAGGCACGTTAACAGGTGAACAGTGACCTGGTTCAATAAGATGTCATATCTCAGTTGCTAAACACAAGCTATGCCAGATGCACAAACTGAGTGATAAGAATAATAATGGAAATCATTCCATTTGTGATCAAAACCATAGTTGGTGTGGACAGTCTTCATTTCCATCATTGTTGGGCTCTCCTGAACTCTAAGAGACAAAGATAATGAACCCTAAATTGCTCCTGATTGCATGGCGATCAGTGTGAGTGTGAATCTTGTTCTCCCTTAGCAGGTGCATGCACTATATGAATGTGTGTATTCTGCTGTTCAACTTGACTTATGTCAAAGTAATTTGAGGGGTCACGAGAGTGGAAAAGTGCTATATAAATGCTGCCAATTCAACATATACACTATTTCTATCTCCTTCCCTCCTTCCTTTCCATGATCTTTGAACTGAAGCTGATACTCTAGTTTTGGGTTATTTCGAGAGTTTAAACTTGTAATACTGTTGTCCAGGGTGTGGTCCGTTTGCATTAGTCAATACACAGAAGGATTGGGCACTCGTTTCACCCGTTTATTTTCCAGTACCTCTTCAATCAAATAACAAAGGAAAAACCCAAGAAGTTTGACTTTTTTTTTAAAATTATGATCCATCATATATACAAGTGTGTAGCACAGCAAAAATGTAATAGTACATCAATATTATTTACTAAATGTATTTATGATATTTTTTAAAAGGTGTAGAAATAATTCCTTTGATTAACCCCTGGAGCGACCAGTGTGAATATGTAACATTCATGACAATAAAGGTTAGAAAAAAGGACTTCTGTTCACACACATATACAAGTGTACATCTGTGTCTTATTGTTGTCAAAGGCATGTTAACAAAACAGGTGAACACGTAACATCTCAGTTGCTAAGGACAAGTTGTGCGAGATGCACAAACTGAGGGAAAAGTTGATGAACACTTCCTATCATTCCACCTCCCTGACCAGTTGTTGTGTACACAGTCTTCACCTCTATGGTTGTTTGGTTCCCCTTTATTCCAAAAGAAAAACTTGGCTACACACCCATCAGACCACATCCATCTTCCTTCTTTGTGGATGTCACTGAGTCCGATCCATGTTGGTCCCTGAGCAAGGTCAACGTTTTTGATCAGGAGTTTGACAAAATCCTCTTCCCCTCCACTGTGGATAGACACCAGGTTGCCTCCCTGGGACAGACAGTGGAACTCTGCATCAGCCCAGGTCATCTTTGTGGCGATGTACTTGTAGCAGCGGCCGTAGAAGGAGAACCAGAATGAGGGACAGCTGCCACGCTTAAGCTCCATTGGACGCTCATCTGAAGAAGACACAGCACCCAGAGCCAGGCCCAACAGGAAGAGGAAAACCAGCATGATGATGTCACCGTCTCTGTCTGTTAAAGTTGCACTGAACCGTTGATGGAGATTGTGAAGCTTCAAGTGACAGGCTGCTTCTTTATATATGTGTGGGAATGTGACGTCATTGTCACGTGACGTGATCACATGACCGGTGACCGATAAAATGTAAGTTATAAAAGTTTTGCCGGCAGTTTCAGAAAACCTTTATCTCTTGGCTGCTGGACGCTCACCGTTATCTCCCTCAAGGTAGGACTCGCGGTTTTAAGGTGGTTATATGGTCTTTTAAATTAACCTATGGAAGTGTCTCAGTTCAGTTTGGATTTTATTAGGGCGAGGGCAAGATACGTTTTCCCATCATGGAGGGAAACTCTTCAGACATTCAAAGCACGAGACCTGGTCTGTTACAAACAATGTGTTTTGAATATGGTGTTTTAGTAACAGTTTTAATCGTTTTTAAGCAACTTGTACGTGTTTTGCAGAGTGTAGAAGTGCTCATAACCAGCCAAGCAACCCGGGAAACTGGCAATGGACGTTTGTTAACTTTATTCTAGCTTTTATTATTATTTATAACATCTGTTTTTGTGTTTAATAGAGCCGAGTATGACCGTTTCCCCTCCTGGATTGAGCCAGGAGGATCTATTGCTCTGTAAAAGTAAGCCTGGTTTTTAACCTTCTTTTAATGTTATATTGAATTGGTGTTTGAGCTGGCAACTATTATGTTGCGTTTGTTTTAAAAAAAACAACTACTGTCCTCTAGTGCTTTTTTTGTTTTATTTTCTGTCAATTGTTTTCTTGTGTGCAGATTGTGGGCAATATAATTGACTAAGTGTTTGTGTTACAGGTTCCTCCTCTCCCTCTGTGGGGGAACCTTGTCTGCGTAGTGTCAGTGGAGGGACTGCACGGTGGGACACTTTAAAAGGGTGAGTAAACTAACTCTCACTGTAATCATTTTGTAGGAGTTGTGCTTTGAGTAGTGCATGCTTTTGTTCTGTTTTTGTCCCTGACAGTTTGCAGGCATTGTGACCTAGTGGACCAGACCTGCCCATATGAGGAGGGTAAACCCACAATGTAATAGTGTAAAGTATGTTCACCCTCTTACCCGTTGACAGCTGCTGAACATTGACATTTTAACATGTATATTTGTGAAATAAAGCTGCATTCTATTTGGTAATGAATGCCTCTGTTATTGTCCTTGTGAAGGGAAGCCCCAACATCTGCAAAACAACTTTGGATTTAGATTGAGGGTCCACAGGTTCCTCCATCCCCTTAACAGGAGTTGGTGTTGTCAGCTATTTAAAGGTGACCCCAGCCACAGTTACCACATATGCATCAGAGAGGGTGTTTTCACTGTTGGCCTAATATAATATTGGTCAACTGAACTTGGCAACACTAAACACAACCACACCTTAACATAAGCAAAAACAGACTACCTGCTCACCTGGAGATGTCGCACCTTCTATACATTTTTTACAAGGAGTAAATTATATTAAAGGAGAGGTGTCATGGCCATTTCCACTGATCATAATTCCATTGTTGAGGTATACTAGAATAGATTTATACTGTGCATTTTTCCAAACTCACATTGGTTTCTCATACAGCATCTCTGTAAACTACTTGTATTCACTGAATTTCACTCTCTGCCTTAACGGCTCGTTGTAGCTCCAAAAGCTCCAGCCCCCACCCTCCCTGTGAGCACAGTGTGCTCTGATTGGTCGGGACGTTGTGAATCGCGCTGAGCTCCGTGGAGGTGTTGTTTCCTTGTTTAGGATACATAGCGAAACACAGCCAAACTCATCCTGAGCACACACAAACTCACATCCGAAGTACAGGGTGCGTACGGGTGCTGGAAATCCTTGAAAATGCTTGAAATTGTACGAGGTGTTTTCAAGGTTTGAAAAGTGCTTGAATTTTGGGAATGGTGCTTGAATTTGGGATAAAGTGCTTGAAATTGTAAATGCTTTACTTCGCTTTTTAGATTAAAAGAAAATAAAGAAGTCGGAGCGCGCTTAATTGCTTCGCTTTTACATAAAACAGCTCCGCTCCGGCATTCCCGCGCAATGCGCGTGACCGGCAAGTGTTTTTGTTACGTGTGTGACCTGGGCATTCTGATGAGAGTGAGAGTGATAGATGACAGTATGCCAGGAGGTTGCCGTTTCAACGAGCGTTGGCTAGCAGAAGACAAATACAAGCCATGGCTAAGACGAGGGTCAAGCGAAGCCCAAGAGTAGCCTCCTGCAAAGTGTGCAACAATAACGATGCAAGAGAGCATTTTAGATTAGGCTATCGTTGCATGTAAAATACATGACACTTTTCTCTGTGCGCGGCAAAACAAGCTCGCCAAAATGGCTTCACTAGTCTGGCAGTATTTTAAGTGTCCGAAAATGACAATAAAATAGCGGTATGCAACGTGTGTGTGAAGCAGAAATCCTGCAGCTCCACCCGCTGTGACGGACCGGTGAGCAAAGCAGAACACACATTAAGAGTTAAACCTAACACACTTAGCTATTTTATCTACCTCTGGAACAAGCTGATTCCGGCGATCGGCCCCAAAATTGGCGATCGGAGCATCCCTAATAATTGTATATGATATGTTTTATAATAATTGATCATTAAAGTGTTATCAAAGCTGGTAAAGGTGCAGCTAGTTTGAATGACTTTGTATACTACAGAGTAGCTTGTGAATTTACTCCAGGTGGAACTAAAGTCTGTTTTAACACTTGATTATATTTCACATCATTCATCCACATCTGTAAAGTAACTAAAGGTATTAAATACATGTAGTGGAGTAAAAGTAAACCATTTACCTCTGACTTATGTTTACTGCCAACCTAAAAGTACCTCAAAAATAGTAATCAATAATGTATTGAAAAGTTATTTGGCTGATTGTTTTATATTGGCTCAGCCAGGTTATATGGGATGCCCAGTCTACGTACAGATGGGTCACTCATTTTGAAATATTAAACTTAGTTTTCTTTTCTAAAAATTTAAATTGTTCATCCTCATGTAGAATGCTATTATGAAAAACACATTTGGTTGTTTATAGCATAAAGAACATCTGATTTAATGTGAAGTAGGGAAATAATCATTTGAGTATAAGTATGTGTATATAAATATGTAATTTACAACAGCTGTAAGATGCTTGAAAATGCACCTTGAAAATGCTTGAAAAGTGCTTGAATTTGACTTTGGAAAAGGTGTAAGAACCCTGGAAGTAAAAACAATAAGTGTGGCTTGATATTGAGTAAGAAAAAGGTTGATGAACGCTGTGAGAATGGGTCTGCAGAGAGAATTTTGCCGTGATCCCAACGGTCTGTTATCAGCCTGCAGCCAGGGAGGAGAAATCAGCTGAGCTGCCTGCTCCCTGCACACAGATGTGTGTGTGTGTGTGTGAGGAAGTCTGTGGATTGGTCAATTTGGACCAATCAGCGGGGGCTTAACGTAACGGCTCCATGGATTGGTTCGTTCCGGGTACGGGTTGACATCATGCCGTACCCGGAAGAATCAAATGGACAATGACGTATCTCCAACGAGGCGTTTTGGGGAGGTATTTTCTGTGTTAGAGTTTTACTCGCTATAGGGTGTACTTTGAGGGATTTGACTCTGCACACCGTTTACATGCATAAAAACCTTCATAACACACAAGGGGACGGGTAATAACCGGAAAAGCATGACACCTCTCCTTTAAATCAAATGTTGGCAGTGCTAAACATTGCCAGACCAAAACAAATGTTCTTTACAATCTCCAGAAGATGTTGGTCGGGAGGGATAATGGTCTGTTTTTAAAACGCTTTATAGCCAGTGAATACCAAGATGCCCATCACACTAAAGGTTTGTAAACATTTAATTGAGCCACCACATTACCACAAATAATTCCCACCTTGTGCAAAATGAAGATGAACATTAGGCAAAAAAGACCATGAGCTTGTGTGGATATATCGTATAAAACATTTATTCATTTCAGGGGAGACTTATTGCTGTGTCTCGTTTTACTTTTCATTCACAACTGATCGTCGCACTGACTTGCTCCTCTGCTGCCCTCCAGTGGCCACAAGGCACAACAGGTACTTTTACATTACAGCATGTAGCTCCAAACCACAAAAGTATTTCCTTCAGAAAATGCACTTCACTAAAGCTCTAAACATGGCACATGAACCTGTCACCGCAACACAAATATAAACTATATACAATAAAATCAGGAATATAGTAGCTACAATATGAATGCTCTACAGTGAGCAGAGATGTATTTTTATGTGTGGGCATAATGTACAGGGTAATAGTCAAATGACTGCCACAAGGCCTTTCTATGACACTGAATAGGAACAGATCACAGCTCTGATTTAGTAGATCTTGCTGACCAACAATTGCTGAATAGGTTTAACAAAAAATAATCTTTAAAATTAGACTGTTTCTCAGAATAAAGAAAAATGATGTGCCTCATGTAAAAAAATTCTGCATTCCAGACTGACTCTTTTCACTTTTTTAATGTTACACCAGCAAACCCTTGTACCCAGATGCTAAATTACTACTAAGCTACATTTGAAACATTCAGCACTTTTCTATAACTTAGAGGCTGCACTGTCTGCTGTTCAGCAACAGTTAAGGAGACTGGCTTTAAAGGGGAGATGTGCTGTCAAAGTGTATGAATAATGCATTGTTTCCTTGTTAATAAGTGAACCATTATGTTGCATATATCTCAAACACAAAAAGGACTTTCATACACAGTAAGTGTGCATCTGTGTCTTGTGGCCGAAGGCACGTTAACAGGTGAACAGTGACCTGGTTCAATAAGATGTCATATCTCAGTTGCTAAACACAAGCTATGCCAGATGCACAAACTGAGTGATAAGAATAATGGAAATCATTCCATTTGTGATCAAAACCATAGTTGGTGTGGACAGTCTTCATTTCCATCATTGTTGGGCTCTCCTGAACTCTAAGAGACAAAGATAATGAACCCTAAATTGTTCCTGATTGCATGGCGATCAGTGTGAGTGTGAATCTTGTTCTCCCTTAGCAGGTGCATGCACTATATGAATGTGTATATTCTGCTGTTCAACTTGACTTATGTCAAAGTAATTTGAGGGGTCACGAGAGTGGAAAAGTGCTATATAAATGCTGCCAATTTACCATATACACTATTTCTATCTCCTTCCCTCCTTCCTTTCCATGATCTTTGAACTGAAGCTGATACTCTAGTTTTGGGTTATTTCGGGAGTTTAAACTTGTAATACTGTTGTCCAGGGTGTGGTCCGTTTGCATTAGTCAATACACAGAAGGATTGGGCACTTGTTTCACCCGTTTATTTTCCAGTACCTCTTCAATCAAATAACAAAGGAAAAACCCAAGAAGTTTGACTTTTTTTTTAAAATTATGATCCATCATATATACAAGTGTGTAGCACAGCAAAAATGTAATAGTACATCAATATTATTTACTAAATGTATTTATGATATTTTTTAAAAGGTGTAGAAATAATTCCTTTGATTAACCCCTGGAGCGACCAGTGTGAATATGTAACATTCATGACAATAAAGGTTAGAAAAAAGGACTTCTGTTCACACACATATACAAGTGTACATCTGTGTCTTTATTGTTGTCAAAGGCATGTTAACAAAACAGGTGAACACGTAACATCTCAGTTGCTAAGGACAAGTTGTGCGAGATGCACAAACTGAGGGAAAAGTTGATGAACACTTCCTATCATTCCACCTCCCTGACCAGTTGTTGTGTACACAGTCTTCACCTCTATGGTTGTTTGGTTCCCCTTTATTCCAAAAGAAAAACTTGGCTACACACCCATCAGACCACATCCATCTTCCTTCTTTGTGGATGTCACTGAGTCCGATCCATGTTGGTCCCTGAGCAAGGTCAACGTTTTTGATCAGGAGTTTGACAAAATCCTCTTCCCCTCCACTGTGGATAGACACCAGGTTGCCTCCCTGGGACAGACAGTGGAACTCTGCATCAGCCCAGGTCATCTTTGTGGCGATGTACTTGTAGCAGCGGCCGTAGAAGGAGAACCAGAATGAGGGACAGCTGCCACGCACAAGCTCCATTGGACGCTCATCTGAAGAAGACACAGCACCCAGAGCCAGGCCCAACAGGAAGAGGAAAACCAGCATGATGATGTCACCGTCTCTGTCTGTTAAAGTTGCACTGAACCGTTGATGGAGATTGTGAAGCTTCAAGTGACAGGCTGCTTCTTTATATATGTGTGGGAATGTGACGTCATTGTCACGTGACGTGATCACATGACCGGTGACCGATAAAATGTAAGTTATAAAAGTTTTGCCGGCAGTTTCAGAAAACCTTTATCTCTTGGCTGCTGGACGCTCACCGTTATCTCCCTCAAGGTAGGATTCGCGGTTTTAAGGTGGTTATATGGTCTTTTAAATTAACCTATGGAAGTGTCTCAGTTCAGTTTGGATTTTATTAGGGCGAGGGCAAGATACGTTTTCCCATCATGGAGGGAAACTCTTCAGACATTCAAAGCACGAGACCTGGTCTGTTACAAACAATGTGTTTTCAATATGGTGTTTTAGTAACAGTTTTAATCGTTTTTAAGCAACTTGTATGTGTTTTGCACAGTGTAGAAGTGCTCATAACCAGCCAAGCAACCCGGGAAACTGGCAATGGACGTTTGTTAACTTTATTCTAGCTTTTATTATTTATAACATCTGTTTTTGTGTTTAATAGAGCTGAGTATGACCGTTTCCCCTCCTGGATTGAGCCAGGAGGATCTATTGCTCTGTAAAAGTAAGCCTGGTTTTTAACCTTCTTTTAATGTTATATTGAATTGGTGTTTGAGCTGGCAACTATTATGTTGCGTTTGTTTAAAAAAAAAAAAACTACTGTCCTCTAGTGCTTTTTTTGTTTTATTTTCTGTCAATTGTTTTCTTGTGGGCCGATTGTGGGCAATATAATTGACTAAGTGTTTGTGTTACAGGTTCCTCTCCTCTCCCTCTGTGGGGGAACCTTGTCTGCGTAGTGTCAGTGGAGGGACTGCACGGTGGGACACTTTAAAAGGGTGAGTAAACTAACTCTCACTGTAATCATTTTGTAGGAGTTGTGCTTTGAGTAGGGGAGACCAGGTACAGTTGCAACACGGGTCGGTTGTAACACCTTCAATATCTCCAATCACAAGTGTGTGTCTGAGGTAGAACATTAACTAAAATTATATGATGTATTTTTTGGATACTGTCTTGAGTTCAAATGTCTAGGAATCCAAACTAGTATTATCAGGGTTGCCAACTTTGGGTACCTGGCTGGAGTGAGATTTTGATATCATGGGTTTAATTCAGTTTAATTACACATATGCGCACGAAATGACTGCTATCGTGTCAGCAGCGGGACCTTAGCATATAGGATATATATATACAATATATACAAATACACAATAATGGACACAGACTATAAAGGGCACACAGTTTCATTCACTAATGAAAGTCAAACATGTTTGTTTCCACTGTTTTATTGTGTGCCTGTCGCGATAAACAATTAATTGACTTATCGTACGATAAATAATAATGAACTCCATAACTTTTCTGACCTTGATAAATTGCCATTTACATGAGGATGTGACTAGCAGTTTGAAAGGATGTACTTGAATTATTATTATATATTATCATTATGTCAGTGGTCTAAAATGGTCATACAACGGTGCCGACAATATTATCGTTTATCGCCTAATAGAACAATAAGCAGCAGACTTTTACTTTTTTATCATTTCTACTGGATCTTAGATCTGCGCATGCGCAATACGGGTCGGCAGTTGCGGCTCCAGAGTATTTTTGTTGCGTAATCTATGGTAGGGCTAACCATAGACTGTATATAGGGGCTAACCCATACAGTGGTGGGGCTCAAGTCAGTATTTGCAATGTAATTACATACACGCTCCCCCCGACAGTGAAACGCCACGCGTGAGGTTTAGATTATTTCCCTGTCTCAATCCAAATTGAACTGTATGAAATAAAAAGGCACATTTGTCTTGTAGTAAATAAAAAGGGCGACCTGGAGCCAATCCTGCAATTTCCCCACAGGTGAAAGAGTTGACATGCTGAAAACCCAACCCCTGCAGGGAGGTCTGGGGGGATTCTCCCCCAGGAGATTTTTTAAAATACTAACATAAAATACACATTCTGGTACTCTCTTGAGAAGAAAAATAAATAAATCTATTACTACACGACATATTTAAAAAAAATGAATGCCATTTTTGTTTTTTGTTACTTTGTTCTGAAAGCTGAACCTGCTGCTCCTCACAGAGAGAAGAGGCTGTGTGAATTACTTTACATTGTGGATAAGGGTGGATAGCCCCCATTGTTCTGTGTGTCAAAATGAAAGACAGCCCACACACCTATCAATCATCAAACCGTGGGGTCTTATTTCATTACGTGTTGATTTCTATCAACACGTAATGTTGTATTGATGTATAGAGATGTACTACCGCAAAAGTATTCTCCGTCGGGACTTCCTGCAACAACACACACGCCGTTATCGTGATTCTGATTGGCCAGAAGACATTATCAAAGATGTTCTATTGAGAAGACGATCACTACGTGACAAAAGTTTTCAAAACCGTTTCTAGTCTTCGGTATTATTGTTTTTGGCGTGAGAATAGTTTGGGCAGCGTGAGAGCGTGAGATTGAGAGTGAAAGCGTGTGTCACACGCCAGATGCGTGAGAGTTGGCAACCCTGGTATTATTAGAATCACTGTTTTGTAAGCTACAAATATAACTAGCTACAGTGGCGAGCCGTGAGCTTTATACCTAGGCCCTCTGACCCCCACCCCTTCCCTCGAAAAAAAAAAAAAAAAAAAGAGTTATTACGTCACAGCGTATACTTCAGCGGAATATCAAAACAACGGCCCAGGGTGCAAAACGCATCAATGACAGCGACCCTCTACCACACAAAACAACACCTGTGAACCCAATTTGTGTTCTTTGACATTGAAAATGATATTGCATTGTGTTTGTTACTTTCGTTGCAGTTGTATGTCTTAAGTGTAATTTGGCATGCTTTTATTTTGAAGGCGAGTTCACGCTGTTGACAGGAAGTTGTTGTTGCTATGGAAACAAGAAAAGTTTCACAGCGGGCGGAACTTGTCATCTAGTCCGCGATAATAAAACCCACCCATTTAGAGGGAAGATATGATTGGTCAATTGTACTGTCATTTGACATTACTCTCTCGTTCAGTTAGGCCACGGGCACGAAAACGGCAAAACGCATCGGAGTAACGCAAATGCAACCGCAAAAAACCTTCCGTACCCACGCAATATACACCGGATTGTGTCAAGCTCCACGAGACGGCTCCGTTTACATCCAAACGCTGGAAAAGCTGCAGTACATATGCCGAACCTGTACGTGGCGCTGTAACTTCCTCCACAAAAGCAGCAACTTCCTCCACAAAAGCAGCGAAGAAGAATGGTTGTCATGGCTGCACTTCTGTGTATTCTCCGCGGTGGGGGCCGACAGAACCGGGCAGAGTTTTTCGCCGGTCAGCGTGTGTTAAAGTTTAAATCTTCCGGACAAAATTATAAAAGTGCCGGTCAAAGGTCTTCATTATTTATTGAGCTTTAAAACAAATGAATAACGACGATATAATGATATATAATCATCAAATACACGGAGCCTGTCTCTTTTTCCTCTCTTCTGACAGCGTCAGTGTCTGTCTCATGCAGCAGCTGATCCTGTAATGAGTGACCCGACAGTAAAAATGAACATATTTATAACTAGTTTAGGTAGTTTGAGAGGTAATTAAAATAGCTAAGGGTGATGATCTGACTTGAAGTGTGTGTTTTGCTCCCGCTGCATCACAGCGGCAGGAGCTGCGTGTCTCCGTCCTGTCAGATTAGACTTCACTCGCGTTTATGTCCATATCGAGATAAAGATAAATAATCTGAATTCAAGGAGGAGCTCCTGTAGATGTTGCACAAAGAACTGTAGCATGGTCAGTAGCGACTGGAGCACGATAGCAACCCTGCGATCCGCCATTGTTGTTGTTAACGAAACACATCAGCAATGATGCGGGGTACGCGGAGAGGTGGGGAGAGGCGGGGCTATGAAAACGAATGACCGTATAGGCGACTCCACGGCCCCGTTGGACCCCCCCAGAGCGCTCCGTTCCCAGATCTATCCACCTTTGGACCCGTTGTCGTTTGCGGGGTCTGTTTCTACGTTTCCCTTACGGCGTCGTCGAGCTTAGAGGGCTATACGCATGAGAAATATGCGGATTCAACCCGTTTTCGTCCCCGTGGAGCCGGGGCCTTACTATAGCGGGCCCTCTGTGAATCGCAGAGAGGGCCAGATGAGCTTCTTTCATGTAACCCACATTCAAACGGAGACTGAACAGGCAGATTCGAAGAATTTATTTATTTGGAAATGTTATTTTATTAAATCAAGTTTTTTTTCGGTAAAACTAATGAAAAATAATATTAAAAAAATATATTTTTTTTTAATGTTTTTAAATATTATTTTTTGGAATATCTTAGGCCCTCACAGAGGGCCTAGAGGGCCCTGACGGCTCGCCACTGACTAGCTAAATATTGGTCAAGCTAGCAATCAGGCAGGTTCACAGGGGGTGAAAGCAAGACTGGTGGTCCTGGGACGGTTGTAACGGGACAGTTGTAAAATGGCACATTTACAATGATGGCACATTTGCTTGAATGATCAATTGTTCATTCAAGCATACAGTTGTATTGTTGATTGGTGTGCATTGTCCCTGTAAAAATAAACAGAATAAAATACTGTACAGTAGGCCTAAAGTGTGTTTACAGTATGCCAAATGTCAGAAAGAGGAAGACAGACAGGGGAGTGCCACTTGCTCTGCTGCAGAGGGCCTCAAATGAAGTTGAGAAGGGCAAATCATTCAGGGAAGTGGCAAAGTCCCTGGATATATGCCATGTCACCCTGTACCGGTTCCATACAAAGAGGCTGAGGTTGGAGAGTCAGGGATCACAAACACCCCCAAGAGTAGGCTACTGGACACCAAAGAAGGTGTTCTCAACAGAGCAGGAGATGCTTTTGAGAGACTATCTGATGGAGGTAGCTGATTTATACTATGGTCTCAGCTCAAAGGAGGTAGGTCTACATAATTAAGGTAGAAGCACCTCTCAGAGAACAGTTTAATCCTTCACAGAGGATGATGCTGTGTGTGTTATCTGTTATCCTGTTCATTGTTCATTGTTTGTTGG